CTCCACGAGCTCAAGGCAGCTGGCTGCCAGCAGATTGTGCTGCTGCCCAAGAACCCGCAGTACAGTAGCACGACAACGGGCTCCATCTACGATGCCGTGTTTGCAGAGCTACAGCGGGAGCGCAACGTGCCCACGCTGCGCGTGGTGCGCCCTTACTTTGAGCACTCACAATACATTGAGAGCTTGGCCCGAGTCACACGCACCTTCTTGGACCGACACGAGCCAGTGGACAAGGTCATCATGTCGTTTCATAGCATCCCAGAACGGTACTACTTGTCAGGCGATCCTTACCCGTATCACTGCGAGGCCACGGCGGCGGCACTGGCTGCCGCATTGCAGTTGAAGCCCGAGCAGTGGGTTTTGACCTACCAGTCGGTGTTTGGAAAGGATCCATGGCTGCGTCCGGCCACCGATGCCACGGTGGCCTGGCTTGCGCAGACCGGCGTCCAACGCGTTGCCGTCGTGTGCCCCGGCTTTTTGACCGATTGCCTGGAATCAGTGGATGAAAATGGCACGGAGAACCGGAACATCTTCCTCGAGCACGGGGGGCAGGACCTCTTGCTCGTGCCCTGCCTCAACGACGAGCAGGTGAGGCTTGTTTTTGCCTTTGCCACCATTACCAGGCCCGGGCCTCATTCATCCTCGCTTGCATTCTGTGTGCCGTTGTGCTTTTGGGCCGATCCCTCTTCGTCACGACGTAGGGCTGGTGTGCTGGAGCCGCACAGCTCGTACGGGAGGAGGCCGCTGGCTGGCTCTGAACTGAGTGGGTGCCGCAACTTGACGCGAACGCAGTGACAGTAACACGCTCAGCTCCCAAAAACGTCTGACAAACCCACGATGCAACATCGAGGTAACCATGCAACCTTACATCAATACCAAAGTCTAATTGAAGTCACACTTTATCAACTTCAAAGTGTAACTTTAGTCACACTAAGACCATCATTCGTCTTGCAGCAAGCATGACGCGTGGTGAGCCTGAAATGTCAGATAAAATTACGACGACCACGATGCTGACAAAGCCCCCTTTTGGTTGACGTGAAGCACACAGTAGCGTTCTTTCTCTGAGTATGTGGGTGACGTTGTGATGTTCTCTGAAAATTCGTTGGCATCCCTCTCTCCCTCTGAATAGACGTTTGCAGCTTGGAGTTCATACTATTCCCCGCTACGAGTTTCTCCGACGCGACCTATATCTCTGTCAACGAGTTGTTGTTGGTCCACCTCTCTGTTTTCATTCAAAACTTCACCCCTCTCTCTGTTTCTCTCTCGGGCTTGAATGACCACACACACACGCACGCTCTCTCCATTTTTCTCTCTCTCTTGAGGTTGACGACGGCGGCGACACCTCCTCCTCCTCCTCCTCCTCCTCCTCCTCCTTCTCTCCCCTTCCGCCCCCTCCTCTTCCTCCTCCCCTCCCCCTCCCTCTTCCTTCTTCTTCTTCTTCTACTTCTTCTACTTCTCTGGAACGTTGCGCGTCAGCTTTTGCACTTGGAGCGGAGTAGACGGATGATGCGCGTGCCCCAGGCGCGTTGGCTGCTGCCGATATTCACTGCTGTTCTGTGGTGTTCCAGGCTCTGCAGGCATTGTTGCCCGTTGCTTTGGGGGTCATTGAGGGTCATTTGCTCGAGCTCTATCCTCGCGTTTTCTCCCTGAGCTTCTTATCCGTACGCTTCCATCTATTGCGAGCCATGTTGGGAGTGCGTCGCCTCGCCGCCGCAAGGTCCATTGCTGCGCGTGCGGTGCTTGCGGCAGGTCCATCCACACAGACAGCTTCTTCGTTGCTCCAGACTGTGGCGACGCCACGGCAAAAAAGTACAAGCGTGGTCAATGCAACTTCTGCGCGCACTTCGCCACGATGGGCGCCCGCGCGCGGGTTGACATTTGAAGACCACCACTACGATGGCATGCCCGTCACCCCTTCCACGGTGGCCGAGGGGCTGCAGCTTGAAAATGCCGAGCGCTGTCCGTTCTTGTCCGAGGTCAAGCATACCATTGAACAAGATCTGATCCAAGACCAGAGTGCCAACGTCGCAAGTGCTGACCCCGAAGTCGCCACCAACGGCATGCGTTCCATCATTGCCGGGTGTCTTCAAAACGTTCTGAATCGCCTCAAGGCCGAGGAACGCTATCGCGAATTTCGCTATCTCAAACGCTCCGTAGGCAGCCACCCCGAAGTATTGTGGCAAATGCCCAGCGCACAAGGCCAAGGAGACTCGGTCGTCAAGACTGTCGTCAACTGGTGCTCCAACGACTACCTCAACATGGGTCACCACCCAGCTGTGCTCCAGGCCATGCAAAACACGCTGGCGGAACAGGGTGCCGGTGCCGGTGGGACTCGTAACATCTCCGGCTCCAATGTTTTGCATGTCGAGCTCGAAGCCGAGCTGGCGAATCTGTCCGGCACCGAGAATGCTCTCCTCTTTCAGTCCTGCTACACTGCCAACTTGGGTTCGTGCCATGGCCTCTTCACCCCCCTCCCTGCAGTGCACACCATTTTTCTGAAGCATTTCTGGTTCTCTAACCTTCATTTTTTTCCTTTGAATTTCGTTTGAATTCCGTTGCCACTTCTTGGTGGGACACAGGCGTCTTTGAAGGCTTGCACGCATCACTCGGTGACAAGACGATGATTTTTTCCGATCAAGAGAACCACGCTTCTCTGGTACAGGGCATCCGCAACACCCGACTGCCCAAGCGCATCTTTCGTCACAACGACGTTGGTCACCTTGAAGAACTGCTGCGCGCCGCCCCTGATGACCATCACAAGGTTGTCGTTTTCGAGACAGTGTACTCCATGTCGGGCACCCGGGCTCCGCTTGCCGACCTGATGGCGCTCTGCAAGGAGCATGGTGCCATGACCGTCGTCGACGAGGTGCATGCTGTCGGCCTGTACGGCCCTCACGGTGCTGGCGTACTCGAGGAGGAAGGCTTCTTGGGACAGGCTGACATTGTCACTGGCACGCTGGGCAAGGCGTTTGGTACCACTGGCGGCTACGTGGCTGCCAACCACGACATTATTGACGTCATTCGCTCCACAGCCCCCTCCTTCATTTTTACCACCTCCATGTCTCCTGTCATGGCAGCTGGTGCGCTGGCTTCGGTGCAGACTGTCCGCAGTGATTCACGCGATCGACGCCAGATGCTGGCCACAGCCAACTGGCTGAAAAGTCGGATGCTCGAGGAGGGCATCCCACTCATGTCAGCTGAAACCCACATCATGCCTGTCCTGGTCGGCGATGGCAACACTTGCAAGGCCATGGCAGACCATCTCCTTGAACAGGGCATTTATGTCCAGCCCATCAACTTTCCTTCCGTTCCCAAGGGTGAAGAGCTCTTGCGCTTCACCGCCTCCCCTCGCCACACTGACGCGCATTGCAACCAGCTTTTGTCAGTGCTCAAGGACCTTTGCGCCAAACATGGTCTCCTTCGCGCGCCGCGCAACGCCGCGGCCACGCCGCAGCCCACCAGCGACGGTGCACACGCCTGCATCTGCGTGCGTCGTCAGGGCGACTGTACCACCGATTCATGCCCGGCTCTTATGCGAGCAACAGCATGAGTTGTACCCGCACTACACTTAGGACAGGACACGGTTCACCGGCGGCTTGATGCTGGCGCGTGCTTTTTTTTTTCCCGTGACCTTGGCATACCGTTGTGGTCAAGCCAGTTCCAGCTGCTGGTCTCTGCTTGGATGCATTGTTTTTGACTCTGCCTGGCAGTCTTTAATCTGAACCGCTTCTTACTTACCATGTCATCTGTATCTTTCTCCATGAGAAGTATGATTTGGTTTGTTCTCCTTTTTTTTTTCTGGTCGAGTCTGTGACTCTGGTTCTGCTGTCATTAATCGATTTTCCCTGCGTATCAGGCCAAGTGTACTCACACGAATCATCTCTTTCACAGCGCTGCAATACTATCCCGTCATCATGTGTCGCCTGTTATGCGCTTGCAAATCAGAATGCGTGATTCAATGAAGATCGCACTCAACCCCCCTTTACCGTTTGTTGTGAAAAAGTTAATGTGTCATAGCCGCGCGCGTGCCGCATACCAGCAACGCCTTGGGTCTGGACTGCGTGCGGTCGCAACGTGCATCTGACGGTGCATCTGACGGTGCATGTGATCGGACATGGTCGACCAGAGAGATCGCCCGAGCCGAGCGACCCACCATGTCATTGTATAAAATACAAGTCAAAGCGTCAACTCTGGAAGGACGCTCTCGTGAAAGGAGGAAAAGTGAGAACACTTCCCCCCCCCAAAAAAAAGGGAGAAAAAAAAGAAAAAAAGAAAAACAAATACACAAACGAAAACAAAAAAACTCGAATCAAGCAAGTAAAGCACATCAACACCATCGAAACACTCGGGATACATTACAAGACACTCTGGGGATATGGAAGTGACAGGTTGAATGGCACCTCACATGCGAGATTGCAATCCCAAAGAAAAACAAACAAACAAACGAAAGTCGGGAGCAACTGTGAAGGGTACCCAGCGGTAGCAAACCAGAGGGCGAGAATCTAGCAGGCCCAGGCGGGATTGTTGTCAAAATAGTCGATGAAGACTGAGGTCGAGTTGTAGTTGGGCACAATGCCCCAAGTCGGGTTGAGGTTGGCCTTGAATAGAGTGGCGTTGATACCGGGCCAGTCAAAGGAGAGGGTCATGACATGATAGTCTGTTTGCTTATCCAAGGGCCAGGGGTACACGAGTTCGGCAGAGACGTCAATGGCTTCGTTGAGCACTTGGCCCGAGTAGGCCTGGAGCGTATAGTGATAATTATCAGCAAAGGGGGAGAGGGTGGCGAGGTCGTTGACGGTGATGTTGCCTTGAAAAAGGTCGTAGCGAAGGGTGCCGGCGCTGTGGATCAGGAAGGGTTTGGCGGTGCTAATGTTTGGGACGTGCTGCATGACGGTGTTGGGGGCTACTTGATCGATGTAGAGGGCGGCCAGGGAGTTGTTTTGAGAGACATCGGCGAGATAAGAGTAGGTTGCGTTGCTGCAGCCGACGACGCGGCTGAGACCCAGCTGCGCGTAGACTTTGGTGATTTGTTCGCGAAGCGCGGTGCCGTTTTTCGTGTCAAAGGTCTTGGTGTCCTTGAGGCCGGCCATGCGAGCAAAGGTGGTGCGATTCGGCGTGATGGTGTAGTTGACAAAATTGAGAACGAGGTCAGTGGCCTTGGGGATGTCAAAGCTGACATAGCCGATGGTGTCCATGTACTTGCCCGCTTCGAGGCTGATGGCAAAGTCATCGAGTTGTTGGAAGCGACGAAGGTGGGAGTGACCGGTGAGGAAGATGATGGGCAGGCGATCGGTGGCAGAGATGTTGCGGATGGCGTCGCGGAGGACGGTGACGAGGGGGTCGACGTAGTGCATGTGAGCGAGAACGATGATGGCGGCCAGGTCGTCGGCCATGCTGCCCTTGATGGCATTGATGAACCAAGAGGACTTGACGACGTTTTGGACGAGCTCAACGGTAACAGCGGGGGCCGTGCCCTGCATGTTGTACAGGAAGCCAAAGATGAGGAGGTGGCCGGTGGCGTCGGGCTTGCCCACGTCAGCGAGTTGGACACGTTTGTAAGGGTGACCCAGGGTCTGATTGGGGCCGAGCATGATGTTGGCGGTGAGGTAGGCGCCGTTCCAGGACTTGATAAAGCCCGAGTCGACGAGGTCGGCGATGCTGGCGTTGTCGTATAGCTCGTGGTTGCCGCAGTTGATGGCGTCAAAGGGCATGTGGCGCACGATGGGGAGGATGTGGGTGGTGCTGGGCTTGATGTACCCGCTCAGGCCAGTGCCGTCGTTGAGGTCACCATTGTTGAGGAAGAGGTAGGCTTGCTGCTTGGTGTCCCGCACATAATCGCGCAGGTGCTCGTGAAGGCTGAGGAGATCGCTGTAGTCGGCCGTAATGTCGGGGGTGTGCTGATGCCCGTTGACCCAGCTGTGGGTATCGGTGATGAGCAGCAGATTGACATCGTGGACGGGCAGTCGACCCGAGTCGTCCTTGTTGCTGTTGTGCTTGTACTGACTCGAGCGGAGGGTAAACACGACCACAATCGAGCAAATGCCGGCAAAGAGCAACCCCAAGCCCAGCACCGTCCACACGCGACGACGACGAGCCCCGTCCTGCGACGGCTGCCCAGAGAGCAAGCCCACCGACTCGTTGTTATTGACCGAGGAGGCCATCTTGCTCCGACCTTGACGAGACAAGCTGGTGAATGCTGGAGAGGAGAGAGAGGAGAGGAAAGAGAGAGGAGAGGAAGCTAGCAGGTCAATGCCCGGGGAAAGCAAAGCAACGTGAGCTGAGCTTGAAGAGTTGGCGGTACGCACGCAGTGTCTTGACGCCCACGGCAGCGGCGGCGACGACGACGACGACGCGCACGCAGAGCGAGAGAGAGAGAGAGAGAGAGAGAGAGAGAGAGAGAGAGAGAGAGAGAGAGAGAGAGAGAGAGAGAGAGAGAGAGAGAGAGAGAGAGAGAGAGAGAGAGAGAGAGAGAGAGAGAGAGTCGACGGCGCCAGAGGCGTGGCCGATCTAGAGATGATGGGAGATGCGGGGGACGATTCAGAGATGGCTTACCACGTCGTGTGTGACTCCGATGTAACTGTAAGGGTCAGTAGAGGTTGGCTTGGGATGATGCGAGATATCAGAGAAAGAAGAGGGGTTTACACACACCTAAACAAAGGGCATCAAATGCCGTCAAACGGTCACATGGCGCCCGTCACACATGTATGCAGTTTTCACCACTACTATACCTTTGCTACTCCACACACATCTGTTGAAGGATCAGGAGGGAGACTGGAGGAGACTGGGAGACTCAGAAGCACAATATCGTCTGACAATTTCAACAAGCGTCGTACAGCTTTGGAGCATGACTGCGGTCTCTGAAGGTGGACGCCTTTCTGATAACATCTCTGCTTTTGCCATTAGTTTTACACTGTGTGTCATCGACCTTGAAGCACACACCTCTGTCTCTTGAACTCATTTCTCGTTTACTCTCTGCGACCATGGCGAGCCGACGACTGCTTCTGACGAGCGCGCCGCCGTCGCTGCTGCTGCTGCTGCTGGTGCTCGGCGCCTCGGGGCTGCATCATCACTCGCTGCGCCACTATCAGTCTCCCCGCCATCAAGCGGGCAGTCTTGTGAATAACTGTACTTTGCTCTGGTTTACCCAGGTGAGTGGACACACGAATTGGATGTGGTGCGCACGATTTTTGGCTTCAAGAGCTCACGGCCTTGCTTGCTCGCTCAGTACACGGATCACTTCAACTGGGGCCCGGCAGACAGCAGCCCCCACCCGACAACCTTTCAGCAGCGTGTTTTCATCAACGACGATCACTTTGGTGGTGTGTGTGTGTGTGCTGGCCCAACCCTCTTAGCCTCTCTGCTGCCCGCCTCCCCTCGAGCATCCTGGCTGCTTTCCATCTCACCGGCGTCGTTGCTGCTTAGGCAATGGCTCGCCCATCTTCTTCTATGCCGGCAATGAGGCCAATGTCGAGCTGTACGCCCTTTCACCATTCAAAAAAATCCAATACACCCAAAAGCTGTCACATCCTCCGCACCACTCCTGGCCTTCTCTCATTCCATGCCCGTCTTGCTCCTCGTCCATAGCTACGTGGATCATACGGGTCTGATGTGGGAAAACGCAGCCGACTTCAAGGCGCTGATCGTCTTTGCCGAGCACCGTTTTTTTGGCCAAAGCCAAGTCACGCCCGGCGCCGATGGACCAAGCACCAGCGAGTATCCCCTCTTTTCGGTCGAGCAGGTGTGGCCGCTTGCCAGACCACCCATCACATCACACCTGGCAGAACGCCTGCCATTCATGCTTGCACCCGGGTGTTTTGCCACTCTTAGGCCATGGCCGACTACAACCACTTTTTGTTTGAGTTTAAGCAGAATCGCTCCATCGAGGATAGCCCCGTCATCGTCTTTGGCGGTCCGTTCCATTGCACTCCTCAGCTGCGCGCGCGCTGGCATGGATCTGCCTCACCATCAGTGCGGGCCCACACTGGCCTTGCCTTTTGCTCCACTAGGAAGTTACGGCGGCATGCTGGCCGCTTGGCTACGCATCAAGTACCCGGAAACCTTTCTGGGTGCCGTTGCCGCGTCGGCTCCCATCAGTGGCTTTGCCGGTCAACAACCAGAGTGGGACTCCAACACGTACTGGCAGGTCGTCACCCGCGATGCTACTCCAGCTGCTGGCGCCCCCGCCGCTTGTGCCGACAACGTGCGCAACAGTTTTGTCACTCTTTTCAAAACTGGTGCCTCCGAGGTGTGTCCGAGAGCCATCAGCAGCAGTCTGCCCTTCTCTTGTTCAAGGGATTATATATTTTGCCTTCCAAGCGTCCAACCTCACCCTGGGTATGCGCGTGTCGGCTTCCCCTGTAGTCTGGTCGCGCACATCTGAGTGACCTCTTCCGTCTCTGCAAGCCCTTGGGCTCGACGAGCGATGTCCAGGCGTTGGCCATGTGGATCGCCTATGCTTGGGATACCATGGCCATGGGTGACTTTCCCTACCCGAGCAACTACCTCACTAGCAACGGCCCCATGCTGCCAGCTTACCCCGTAACCGCTGCCTGCCAGCACCTTGCCACTGCCAACCTCACAGGTCAGCCACCTGAAGTCTGCCCCGCCTGCCTGGGCACGCTTTGAATAGCGTCCCCCAAGCCCCTCCCGAGCTGACTTGGTTTTTGACTCACGCTCGCGTTCTTGAAACTTTAGGCGATGCCCTGCTGCAAGGCGTGTTGGCGGCTGCCTCGGTCTTTACCAATGCAACGGCCAATCTGCAGTGCAATGATGTGCCCTTTGATGATGTGGAGCAGGACGGCATTTGGGACTGGCTCTTTTGCACCGAGACCATGCATCAGGTCCGGCCGGACAGCTCTGTACACGGCCGTCGCGTTGTTCACTCAGCTTTGTACCTCTCAACCTAGATGGTCTTTTCATTTTCCCGTTCATTAGGAGACCTACTTCTCGCTCGATGGTCAGCGGGACATGTTTTGGTCACAGCCCTGGAACACCACTTTCATCAATGATCACTGCTTCAAGAAGTATGGCGTGACCCCCCGCTACACCAAGGTGGCCGAGCGATATGGCAACCCCGAGGCAAGTTTATGTCACCGATGTTCATTTTGCGTGGGGTGCATCGTGTACAGTTGAGGTTGGCGCTCACAGAAGCACGACCCTTTCATTGCAGGCGGCGTTGGCGGCGGCTGGCAACGTGGTGTTGAGCAACGGGTTGTTGGACCCGTGGTCTTCGGCGGGCATCAAGCGCAACATCTCAAACACTGTAACAGCCATCATCTTGGAGCATGGGGCGCACCATCTTGACCTCATGTTCTCAACGCCGCAGGATCCGGTTGATGTGAGCTTTGCACGCTGGTTTGAAATGCAGCGCGTTCGAGAGTGGCTCGCCGCCGATGCTGCCACGCGCAGCCTTTGAACATGATGCCTTCATCACCCCGAATCAAATAAAGCGTCACTCGACATGTGAAAACACTAAATGATTCACACAACTGTCAATTATGGCTGGTATTGGGTGACTCTGGTCCTGTTGGGATTACCAGACCAGGAAGAGTGGAGCAAAGCCGAAAAACGAAAACCGAAGTGGGAAAGCAACGCGGCAAAAGTTGAGGCAAAGCCAAGTGGCGAACATTGGGTGGCAAGATCAAGAAGAGCCAGTGCAGAGCCGTCTCGAGGCATGGAACTATGCGACGCAAAATTCTTTAGTTGCTTTCGAATGGGAATGGAGTGGGGGAGAGTGACTCGTGAAGGCTCAGTAGACGGGGCAGCGAACATCTTGACTGGCGCAGTCAAAGTTGTCGTTGTAGCGGTCTTGAGCGCAATTCCAAAGGGCCTGTCGGCGCTCTGCTTTAATTACCTCTGCATTGTACTCGTATACAAATGTGTCAATGCCTTGCGCCTCGGCCATACCTTTGAGGGACGGACGCGAAAGGGCAATTGGAAAGAAGTGGGAATGAATCAAGACAAGAAACAAGCAAAGCAAAAAAAAAAAAGGATAGAGTGTGGTGTGGTGGATGTGCTGGCGGGGCAAGCCAGCAAACTGGTGTACGTACTGGCAGTCATGTTGTTGGAGCAAATGAGGCAGGTAGTGGGGCAGAGGGCAGCCACGACGGCCTCTTCACAAGCGAGGGCGGCCCGTGCGCGGTTGCAGCTCATGATGCCATCATTGGCATTGACTTGAGAGGCCCAATACGAGTTGAGCAGGGCATCCTGATCGGTGCATGGCCATACCCCTGTCGAGGCGACCCCGGCGCGTGAGCGCAACGTCGGGTGAGCGATACTTCTTTGTGTCCCAGCTCGGAGAATGAGGTGCGCACGGTACCTGAGCTGCAGGCATCGGCGCAGAGAACTTCAATGAACATGTCATTGCAGCCAGAGCTGGCTGGCTGCGCGGCACAGCTCGTGGAGTTGTCGCCGAGATAGGCTTGGACAGCAGAGTCGTGATCCTCGGCCACGCCACATGCAAGCAAGAGCGCTGTGTAGCAGCCATGGTTCAAGCGCAGACACGGATGTTAAAGTGAGCAAACGTGCGCCGTCCATTTTGGAACTAAGCTCGAGCAGAAACCCTAATCCCCAAGGTCGCTGATCTTCTCGACGTACCCGCACACGCCACCACCCGCACAGCCGTGATACGCGCCATCTTGTTTCGGTCTCGGTTCGTCAATAGACAAGACAAGCGCCGGCCAAGTAAAGCAGCCCTGCCACAATATGTCGAGGGTCTTGAACACCCTCGCCCCTTTCAATCCAAGTCTGCTCCGGTACGCGCGACCTGCTCCTGTACGCGCGACCGACGGATCGAAGAGATCAATCAAATGTGTGTGTGTGTGTGTGTGTGAAAGGGAGAGAGAAAGAGAGAGAGAAGAGAGAGAGAGAGACAGAGAGAGAGAGAGACAGAGAGACAGAGAGAAAGAGAGACAGAGAGACAGATAGAGACAGAGAGACAGAGAGACAGAGAGACGGAGAGACAGAGAGACAGAGAGACGGAGAGACGGAGAGACGGAGAGACGGAGAGACAAGAGAGAATGAATTGGTTTGGTCGGTTTCAGAGACAAGAGAAGAGGGAGAACGAGACGGACAGAGACGGAGAGGCGGGAGAAGAAAGAGAGAGAGACGGGCAAACAGAGACAAAATCAGAGACAGAGAGAGACAGAGAGTAACAGAGACAGGAGACAGAACAGAGAAGAGGGAGGAAAGAGCCAGAGGGGAGAGTGAGGGAGATTGAGAGCGTGTGTGTGAGAGAGTACAGGCAGTTGGAGAGACAACGGGACAAGCAGACAATGAGAAGAGACGGCAGCAGGGGCGGGGACGAGCAGCCATTGATCAAGACGCACACCCCGTGCTCAACTATGGGCGTGATACCGAACCTCAAGTTCACGGTTGATTATGGTACTGCGGTGCACCTACTCGTTGTAACCTTTCATCAACTGCTTATGCTTTGACTGCCCGTCGCTTCCAACCTTGAGACGCCGCCATTCATGGCCGTCGTCTCCGTGATCTTTGGACGCCGACCCGCAGGGGCTGCCATAGGTGCAACGGCCACTGGCTTCAGTGTTGTTACTTATGTATACAACAATCCAATACAATGGGATGTAGCTTTGTTTCACACATTCTCAGTCAAGGTCGGTGTCTCTGATTCCCGCTCTGATTCTCTCTGACTCTCTGACTCTCTTATTGTTCTGCTTGATGCTCGTCGCTCTTTGCTCTCAACCAATTCATCTCTCTGTCTCTTCGTGTCTGTCTCTTCATCTCTCTGTCTCTTCATCACTCTCTGATGCCTATGATCAAATTTGTATCAGTTTATACCTGTAAATACGGCTAAACTTTCACATTCTTTTGCAGACCATCAAAGGTCAGCTTGTTTAAAAAAGGAAGCTGTTGTTTAGATTATACTCTTCTTTTTGCGCCGCGCGCTCTCTCTCTCTCTCTCTGCGCGCGCGCCGCGCGCGTCTGCTCCGTCTCCTCCGTCGTCAGCCGTCTGCTTCGTCTCTCCTTGGAGAAACAGACTCAATGGCGGTGCGTGCGCGCTTTTCTCCCTCCCTCTCCCTCCCTCTCTCTGTGGGTGTGGCGTGAAGAGATCGCTGGTGGTGTTGTGATTAGTGGGGAAGGATCAGTTGTCGATCCATCCCACTAGTGAGTGTTCTGGCCGAGGCCTCATTTCGGCGCTGCTGCACCTTGATCGCACCAAATCTCAGGCCGCACCGCCGTGGCCGTATGAAAAGTTGTTTCCAGAGCTAGCCAACTCCCCTGACAGTCGAGTTTCGGTGCTGGCTCGCCACATTTGTCACTTTGCGCGTCTCAGCAAGAGCGTGCACCTGGGCTTGTGGGCCAGCTCAACCGTTTCGCGCAAAACGACGCGTTATGCACCAATCGATCTGGGCCCCCAAGATTCGCGACTGCTGGGACTGGATGAAAATGTCCGACAAGAGCTACTCGATTTTCAGCCCTCGTATGCACTTGACCCGTTCGCGTTCCCCTCGGCCTCCGCATTGCACCTCCTGACCGCCGCACCACACCGTTCATTAGGTCCCCGCTGGAAAAGCGCCTGTTTCTACACCTCAGCCGCCTGTATGCTAAAAAGCCTTCGCTCGGGATGAAGCGTGTTGGGCTGCTGGAACAAAGCGCGGAAGCTGAATCGGGCGACAATCGACATCAAGCTCGACGGCACTTGCAAGTATCCGGCTTTCTCACTCGTTTGGGCATGAGGTGCGCGCCATGTCCATGCAATCCCCTCCTATGCGTCGACGCTGGATCGCTGTTCCATTTTCACTGCGCTCCATGCTCACCCCTAAACCTGTTGCAGTTGCTTGCCATTTCTGTCCATCCTGCGCCAAGCACACACCGAAGCCCATGAGGCGCACCGGTTACCCGAAGCTTTTGAACCAGTCCCACCCGCGGGCCAGGACGATGAGGCGATTGTCAGCGAACTGGTGTACTACGCGCATAGCTATGTCATGAGTTTATATCTTGCCGTGCAGCAATTCGCATCAGACTCTAGCCGTGCACAGCTGAGTCACCTGGTGCGCCCGGATCAGCAAGCCAAGGTTTTACGCGTAGTGACCAAGCTGTTATGCACGCTCCTTGACCGATGGGAGGCTGAAAAGGATGGCCACGCCACCCCGAGCTCAGATCACCTTCCTAGCATCTGGCGACTGGTATGCCACATCCCCGTCACAGAGCAGCCCAGCCCCGCTGTTTATTCAGCTCTGGCTATGCATTTCCAGCTCCAGCTCACACCTTCTTTTGATGGACCCCGCACCACACACCGTAGCTATCTAGGGATGATGTCAATGCTTTTGAATGTCTGATACGGGAGCGTCGGGCGGTACAGCATGACGTCTCTGTACGTGTCTGGAACAAGGAACTGGCCAATGAAGCCGTGGGTCTGAAAATGCATCTTCGGCCAGACATTGTGACTTACTTTCGGCAACTCTACAACGGTCAAGCGGTCCCCCCATCCACCACAACTGCCATGTCGATGGCGCCCGTATCAGCGCTCGCACCCGCAGCAGTTGTTGCAGCTCAACCCCTGGGGCGTACGGAAGCCGCAGGCACGGATACGACGGCGGCGACAGAGCCGACCCAGATGCAGTTGCGCAAGCGTGGGAGTACCAGCAGCCCCCTCGATCAAAGGGCAGCCTCTGCTGCATCAAGTGCGGCGGAGGAGGCAGCGAGCACGCAGCGGTATCGTCCTCTGAGCGCCAAGCGACCGGCAACAAGTGAGTCGTTTCATTCCGTCGTTCTTGTGGCCGTATGCTTGCCGCCACGGCGCGCCGATTTCTGACGGCACCTCTTGGTTTGCTTGTGTCGAAAGGTGTGGCACAAGAGCGTGGGGCGGAGCAGGGTATGGGAGACCCTCTTGGTGCTGGTGGACATGAGCGTGACGACTTGCTTCGCCATTTTATGGAGTTTTGCACCAAGCAGGCAGAGTTGCAGCGTCAACACGAGCGCGAGCGGGACGAGCGGACTGAACGAGCCCGTCAGCTTGAATTTGAGCGTATGAGAGCTGAGCGCAAGGAGGAACGCGAATTTCAGTTGAGGCTCGTACGCGAGATGTTCATGCTCAGTCAGCAGCAGGCCAACAACCCGGCAGCCACACCCAACATGCCACCTTAGGCGTGTGTGTGGCTGGCGCAGGGTTTGTCATCGTCTTGAGGCTCATGCGTGCTTCATCGCAAAGCGATCCCTCCAGTGACGCATCCTTCTTCTTCTTTATGGCTGGGTATACATGATCGAGGCGTCTATTCAGGCCTGATGGTTTGTGATTCAAACATGATTCAAGTTGGGGTTGATTCCGGGTTTTACTCGAACCCAATCTCGATCTCGGCACGCTACCTCGGCACGCTACCTCGCCACGAGGCCTGGTCTTTAAACGTGTTTACGTGCTTGTGCGTGGACGTGACAGTCGCTTTCATCGTCGCATTTTCTGGATGAGCTTGCAGACAAGAGTTGCGAGCTCTGTTTATTCTTTTGACACTGAGTGTCCACTGATTGCATGATAACACTACACCACATTACAATAAGCATACATGTAATTGCTATTCGATTGATGGTGGGGCTCGGTCCACGGTTGGCCGTGCTTACGATGTGGACAACCGGGGCTTCCATGCCGTCATACAGACACAGCTGGCTCTGGCTGGCATTGGTTGCAGCAAGGCTGTCCGCCGCCGGAACACGTGTCTGTGGGGTGAAACAGAGACAGAGACACAAACAGTATAGAAAAAGAGGGATCGATTGAACGAAGGACACCTAACGTTGTAAAACAAAGCCAAAACTAGAGATTATCGATGATCAAAGTAGCCAAACAGAGATTGGAGCTGAGCAGAGCCAGGACAAAATGTGTGTGAGAGATCGTATTGTCATCATCTCGTGTTGTGTCATCACTCTCTAGCTGTCTTGTGCCCTCTGTTATCTCATTTTGCCGTATTCCATCTCTGAATGCACTTGACTTTACAATGTTCTCTCTGCAAGATTCTTCGAAACTTCTCCTTGTCTCTTAATTACCTTCATTTTAACATTATCTGAAGAATGTTTCAGAAAGCTTCTCTAATTTGCTAGCTATTTATCTCTTCCCTCTCTTTCATCTCAGGAATCATCTCGCCTCTCTCTTTTAGCTGCTCTACAACTCTCTCCCTCTCTGTTCCAATTTTTTATTTCACAACACGACGCTGTGCTCTCTCTCTCTCTCTCTCTCTCTCTCGTCTCGCGCGCTGATTGCGGGCACAGGGTGATCGAGTCAAAGCGTTGTGTGTGAGTGTGAGTGTGTGTGCGTGTGTGCGTGCGTGCGTGTGTGTGCTCACGGCAAAGGGGAACCTCATGCTCTCGCGAATGAGGAGCAGCTGTTTGGCTCGGGCAATCGCGCTGCCTCGACAAGTTTTTGGCCGCGTGGCACGTGACACAGGGCGGCGAGCCATTCAAGTCCAGCAACGCGCCGTGTCTTATTCCAGCCCGACAGTGTCGTCGACGGTTGCCGCGACACCTGTTTGGAGCGTGGCAAGGACGTCTCGGGGCTTGACCGCTGTACCGTGCGATTGCCGTCGCTTTATCGGCACCATGTCCCGGAGCTACCAGGTCAGTCTGTCAACCTCCTGAGACTCCCTCGTGCACCCTAACTTTCAACCAATTGACTCTACTCCACCATCTCGCATAAGTGTGTGTGTGTGTGTGTGCGCGCGCGTGGCTGTGCTAATTTAATGAACTTGATAAACTTGGTAGGAAGCCGTTGAGGCTCTCAATACATTTCACAATGCAGCCGAGCTCGAGAAGCAACGGTGCGCCATTATTTGCCTTGCTTTTCTGCCATGCTGCCTGTAATCTTTTTTTGACACTGTCGCGCCGTGCTTTGGTCTACATGCCTTTCCGTTTGACCACGCCAGTAGCAAATCGGGAGGACGTGACTTGACCCGCTCCCTCCCCGAGACGCGCGACTATATGCGCCGCCTCAACATTACGGTGCGATCAACGCTCACGCCCCATCCACCGCACGCACCACACTCAAATAGCCAACTCTTGCACTCATCACAAACTCACGGGCTCCATCTGTGCCCGTCAAGGCAGAATGAGGATTTGGCACGCATGCGCATCATTCATGTGGCTGGCAGCAAGGGCAAGGGCAGCACAGCCGCCATGTGTGACGCCCTGCTTCGTCAACAAGGCTTCTCCACCGGTCTCTTTACGTGCGTTTCCTTTGCAACGTTGGCGCAAAACTGTTTTGCTCCATCGCTACCGACTCCAGGAAGCACACTTGCGCTGACATGAGAAAACTTGTTCCCCCCCCCCCCCCCCATCAGGTCCCCGCACCTGATTGAGGTTCGAGAGCGCATCCGCGTCAACGGCGCCCCGTTATCACGCGCCGAGTTTGCCAGCACCTTTTGGGAACTCTATGATGCCCTCGATGCAACGCCCCCTGCTGACGACATCCTCAACTTTCCCACCTACTTTCGTGCCACCTTCCTGATGGCACTGCTGGTACGGTGATGCTGGTGCCCAAATCTCGCATACAACCCCGTTGCAACTCCCAACCCCCACACGACTTTGGCGCTGATGACTTCTTTGGCGGCACCAGGCATTCAAGCGTCTCAAACTAGATGCCATCATTCTTGAAGTCGGGATTGGAGGTCTTTACGACGCCACCAATGTTGTTCTCGAACCGTGGGTCTGTGGCATCACTCGATTGGGTACGAACGCTCGTACATCAATCTCAGCACATCTCCTGGGACATATTCTGCCGCTGTCACCTCTCAGGCTTTGCTCTGTTACGTCACACCTCACAGGTCTTGAACACACCTCAATCCTCGGCAACACACTGACCGAGATTGCCCATCAAAAGGCCGGCATTATGAAGGAAAATGTCCCGTGTTTCTCCCAGCCGCAAGAGCCCACGGCTTGGCGTGCCCTTGAAGAGGCTGCCACTCAGCACCGTCCAAAGTTTCTCCTACAAACGGATCCTCTGCCCCCTGTTGCCATGCACGGCCATATCCCTCCTTTAAATCTGGGTACGTTGCGTCTGTGGCACATTCCTCGTTACGCGGGCGTTGAAAGCCTGGTCCATCTGACTTCTGTAACGAAACTCTTTGCAGGCATTGCCGGTGCCCACCAGTTTTTCAATGCTGGTCTAGCCGTTCAGCTCGTCCGCTATTGGACCCGCCGTTATCGTGGCACAGCCCCGGACCGTTCAGGTCAGCATCGCTGCTTGCACAGCTCTTGATCTTGCTTTTTGCCGTCCGGCGCATTGTGGCTGTCGTGTTCATCTGCTGGCCATGTCAGATTATACGTCCCCCGTACAGGTTGACTTGGCAGACCTGCACCGTGACGAACGCGCCGCCTTGGAAGATTGCCGATGGCCAGGTCGAACCCAGGTCTTACGGCGTGGTCGAACTGTTTACTACATCGATGGTGCACACACCGTGGACAGCTGTCAGGCTGCTGCTTCGTGGGTCCGCTCCAAGCTGCCCCACCCCTCATCGACGCAAGGGTAAGTCCTCGACGGCGGATGTAGCACACACACACGTTTTGCACTTCAATGCCCTCACAGCCATTGTATCTTTGCTTGTATCTCTGCACTTCCCAGTGGGCCCTGCCGAGTCAGCATGATTTTCAACTGTACCGGAGATCGCCTGCCCGCGGATCTGCTGCAACCGGTAGGCAGTGCCTTCAGCCATTGACCTCGCTGGGCCCTTGTCATAGCTAAAACGTATCGTGTCTGACACTGGCGGCTTACATTCTGTCTAAAGTTTGTGGATCAGCTTGATTTTGATCAAGTTGTCTTCTGCCCTAACATCGGCAGCATTGACCACCTTCACAAAGATCAGGTCAGTTGACACGATTTGCAGCGCTTGTTGCAAGGGCGGCATGGTCATCAATTGCTCATTGCGTTGCATGTCCAGATCAACCATACAATTTCATTGGCCTCCCAGCGACGTCACCCCGAAATCTGCCGCACGGCTTTTCTTGGTCTTGAGTATCTCAAGCTCAGCCGCAAACTGCAAGCACGAGGTACTCGGCCATTTTCTTCCTTGCTTGCTGTTTCTGGGATGGTCGGGCTTGAGTCCTTTGAACCCACGGCCATGTTCAGCGTTTGAATTTCATGATGTATACCTGTGTGTGTTTTGGTGCTCAGATACCACTCAGGTTGAGCTGGAGAGCCAGGTTTTTGTCGTCGATAGCATCGAGTGTGCCATCGCCCAGCTTGAGCACGCGGCTATTCCCGCGAAGCAAGATGAAGGCCTTGATAGTCGTGATGAGCTTTTGGATGGCCCGGAGCAGCACGTCATTGTGACTGGCAGTCTTCACTTGGTGGGCGGTTTCTTGGCTCAAATTGGAATGGAGGTCCAGTAACCAAGGAACAAGCTCTTAGAGGAAGCCTAAGCAAGGCTTGTAGCAGCATAGGAGCAGGGGGGTTTTTTTTGGTCTTTTGGTTTTTGTTAATTTGGTTTCAGGTGGTTCAGTTGTTGTCATGCATGGTTGTCCGCCATATTGTTTATCTCTTATTATTTGATTCTCAACTCCAGTCGATTGGCTGCAAGAGTCACATGACTGTTTGCATCAGACATGTCCAAGAAGACTCGTCTGGGATGGCGTAAGCAAGAAGACCACAGAGAAAAAGAAATGGAGTTGCATCATAAGTGGAACAACAGCACAAAAGGTCAACCGACTTGGTGACAGGATAAACAAAAAAAAAAGGGGGAGACAAAAATGACAGCGACGCAGCACTTGCACAGCGCGCGCGCGTGCAACACGAGGACATCATACGGGTTAGATCATACACTACATCACAAGGAGATCGATCAAATACAACAAAAGGTTCTGTTTCAGTCTTCAGGCAAAGCACGAGACTATGAAACGAATTACAACAATGCAAAACAAAACAGAATCAAATCAAGCTGGGACCAGCCCAACACGTTATTTGTCCATGGGGATCTGTAGACCGCCCACCATAACGGTTTCCCGCACCGGAGCAGGCTCGTCCTCGAGAGGAACGGAAAAACCACCAAATTTGGCCGTTTGGCCCGTGCTAAGAGTGGGCAGGCAAGAACGGGCCCGAGTGAGCATGCACGGTCGTGGCCAGTTTCTTTTACAATCATTCGGCATGATGCAACCACGGCCATTTCACTTACGTGGGCTTTTTGGGTGGCCGGGCCGGGGTCACATCGTAGATTGTGCCACCTTGACGGCTCGACCGGGCAGGATTTGCCAGCATCGGGTTTCTCGTCATTGTACTGTCACCGGGTGCAGACTTGTTCAGCTTCATCTCAAACTCATTCTTCTTGTGAGCTTCCAGCTGTTTGCTGTCACGGCGGCGCATCTGGCACAAGGGGTGGGCACGTCGAGAGCAACAATGAGGGGCAACGATCAACAAGCTGGTCAAAACGCACATGCCTCCCAGCAAAGGCAAAGGCACTCATTACTGACCAGAAGGAGCACAACCACGAGGGCTGCCAGGCCAAGCAGAACGACAATGCCGACGGCAATGCCGGCAGCCTGGCCAGTGGAAAGATCTGAGCTGCTGGCCGCCACTTGGCCTTCACACCGGAAGATGCCTCGCCAGTTACCGTCAGCGCCGCAGGTGATAACGTCGTCATTGCCCACTGCCGCAACGGTGCCAGTTCGGCAAACAGGGCGGCAACGAGAACCATAGGTAGTGCTGCACCCAGTGATACTGATGCTCTTGGCTCCCTCCTCGTCGTAGACGCCAACCTGGGAAGGATCAGGCGGCACATATGCGCCACAGTCCACAGCTGTGTGCATGACAGAGTAAAATAGGGCAAGGCGAAAAAAAAAAAACGATGTGAGTTCGGCATGGGCATGACCAAAGCGTTGGTGATCAAGAACAGACGTTGGCAGTTGACGGTGCCTTCCCAGCGGCTGTTGTTGCTGCAGGTATATTGCACATCTGTGCCGACATAGCTACAATAATGCGTGTTTTGGAGATGAATAAGCTAAAAAACGTAAACGAATGGCAAGGTTGAAGCTAGCCCGCAAGCGCACATAATCAAGACTGGCCAACACACCCTTCAAGACAATACACGTCGCAGGTGTCACCGTAGGTGCCGTTGAGGCAGTTGTCACTCGCAGCGAAAGAGTCCCGCGTGAGAACGGACACATCAAGGGCCGAGCAGTTTTTCACTGGGGATCGAATTCATAAGAGAGGTGAGGAGGGATGGAAACTCAGCCGGACGCAACAGGTAAAGACGGTGAGAGACACGTACAGGTGCAAGCCTGGGTGCGATCGCCAGTCCAGGCACCGAGAGCACTGCAGGAAAAGTGAACGGGTGCGCCAGCATAACCGGTTTGACAGTAGGAGATGCAGGTATCACCGTAGCTGCTGCTCGAGCAAGTGTTTTGACGCCTGAGTTCGGAGACACCATCAATGGTGGTGGGACAAGTAATGCGCGAGCACGTGGGAAGGGTGGTGGCTGAGAGAGAGGTCCAGGTGCCAGAGGAAGAGCAGCGATACTCGATGGGATCACCCTCATAGCCCAAGGCGCAGCCAAGATAGCAATTGTCCCCGCCAAAGGAAGAATCGCCCGCACACTGTGAGGTTGCATCGACGGCGCTTTCGGGGATGGTACGACCGCACTGCTGACCATAGCAGGAGATGGAGCCACGCCAGACGCCATCGGCACTGCAGGTGTAGTTGGCTGATTGGCCGACGTAGCCAGTGCGGCAGGTCACTTCGCACTGGTCGCCGTAGAGATTGTCAACGCAAATGACATTGCGAACTTTGTTGGTGTCGAGGGAGGCAATGTTGGAGCCACAAGAAACACGGCTGCAGCGGAGCGAGACTTCGGGGGTCCAAACACCGGCGGTACCACAGGTATAAACTTCACCGCCACCCTCAAAGCCAGCGCGGCAGGTGGCCGTGGCACGACCACCACCATAGAGGGTTGAACCCGTAAAGACAACGTCTGAATTGGGTGCTTGATTGGGGATGGTGGTGCCACAATCACGGGGTTTGCACACAATTTCGCCCTCCCAAGTGCTGCCCGTCCCGCAGGTGAAGGGCACAGAGTTGGCAGGGATACCATAGTAGCCCGGGAGGCATGTTGCGATGCAAGAGGCACCTTCAAAGTAAGGATCAGCGCTGCAATCGGCGGTGGCATTGACGTGCGAGATGTTGGTAATAGTATCACCACAGTTGACAGGCGAGCAATAAGCAACGTTGGTTTGAACGTTGTTGTCACCACCAAACCCAGGTCGGCAGGTGCAGACAGGCGTGCTGCCGCTCATGGAGCATTCAGATGGGTTGCCACCCATGCGAAGTGTAAACTGCACGTCGGGAAAGACGTTCTCGGGAATGTTGCTGATGTTGTTAACAGCAAGGCCTAGTTCGGTGAGGGAGGTGCAGGCCGCAAAGAGGCCATCGGGTAGGGCGGTAAGGAGGTTCAGGCTCAGAGTAAGTCTACAGGAATTGTCCATTCAGCAAAACGGAGAGGGCGCCGCATCAGTCAAGGGTCAAAAAAAAGATAAAAAAAATTAGCACGTGTGTTTGTAATGTTCAGGGAAAACATGGCATGAACAAGGGGCGCGCGCGTGCTAAACGAACGTTTCAAGGTTGGTGAGGGCTGCAAAGGCATCGGGATGAATGTAGGTGATGGCATTGTCGGAGAGATCGAGTTCGCGAAGGGCGGTAAGGTCGGCAAAGACGGTGGCACCAATGGAGGTAATGTCATTTTGATTGAGCTTGAGGACGTTGAGAGCCGAGAGGCGTTGAAAAACGGCGCCTTCCAAGCGTGTCAGCTGATTCTGGCTCAGGTCGAGCGCAGTGAGGCGGCTGTAGGAGGGCGTGAAGGTTTGGTTGGCAATAAAGTCGAGTTGATTGCCGTGGAGGTCAAGACTTTGCAGGGCATATAAAAAGGGGGATCCCCCGGCGACGTTGGTAACGACGAGATCGCTGCGGGCTAATTCAGTCAGGGCGTTGTTGGCGAGGGAGAGATGGGTAACTTGATAGGCGAGACTAGGAAAGGTGTCCCAAATGACATAGTCACAGTTGACAAACGTCTCGTCGCAATGGCAGACCTGAGAAGTACCGCTTGCTGTACAAGCTACCGAGGAATAAGCACAAAGTAGAAGCATGGGACGGTGAGGTGGAGATGTCATGGCACGTAGCAGCATGAGTCGTGGCTCACGGGAGGGGGCGTGCCACTCCGGACGAGGGTTGAAGCCACAGCACAGCGATACAACGTACGTACCAACGCGTGCAACGGCAGACACCACGGAGCTGGTCCAGGTAATGCTCAGTAGCATGCCCGCCAGCAGCACGGCCTGGCTGCTCGACCGCATGATCCCGCTTAAACCGCGCGACGCGCCAGCGCCCGCCGCCACAACGACCAACGAACAAACGGGCCGTCAAAACCACGTTGGTTGAGCAGGGAACGGTGAGGTGAAGCGGAAAATTCAAGAGCGTCGAGTTGAACAAGAGCGTGGGCAAATGCAGCCACCCAATTCCGGGCGTCCATGCACGAGTAAATGCGATTTACATGCGTGCCACCGGCGCCGCCGTCGCCGTCAGAGAGAGAGAGAGAGAGAGAGAGAGAGTGAGTGAATCGACGCGGAGATGTAAAGAAGAGAGTGTTAAGCACAAGTGGAGCTGGCTGAGAGACAGAGCTAAACAGTATCAATATTTTCAGAGATACAAAGGCTTTCTATGTGGCTACCTTACCAAATTTCAAGGGAAAAATAGAGATTATTCGTCGTTTGTTAGATTTTGTAGAGAGACAAGGTGAAGTGGATCCCAACAGCAGAGATGTGCGAGACATCACTGGGCGCCTGCCAGCTTTAAGCTCTTGAAAAGGCCACCTGCAATATCTAGTATATTTTATTCATGTGATAAGCTTTGCCACATTATGTGATATTCATTATCTTACAATAGTGAGTATATAAGTGATTTGTAAGAAAAGAATGACAGTCTTGGGCGTACACAACAGCTGTTATCAGTGAATAACGAATGCAACAGCTGTTGTGCGTCTGTTCATTTTTGATGTTTCCCCTGCACCGCGTGGTCTCTCTCTCTCTCTCTCTCTCTCTCTCTTCTCTCTCTCTCTCTCTCTCTCTCTCTCTCTCTCTCTCTCTCTCTCTCTCTCTCTCTCTCTCTCTCTCTCTCTCTCTCTCTCTCTCTCTCTCTCTCTCTCCCTCTCTCTCTCTCTCTCTCTCTCTCCCTCTCTCTCTCTCTCTCTCTCTCTCTCTCTCTCTCTCTCTCTCTCTCTCTCTCTCTCTCTCTCTCTCTCTCTCTCTCTCTCTCTCTCTCTCTCTCTGACCATTTCCTAGCTTGACGAGTGCAAGCCATGTGAGACGTCACTGGCAGCGGGTGCCTACCCCTTCCCAGTCCTCCTCAGCTTGAGGACTGGGAAGCGGTTTGCACCTGGACTTGAAACCTTTCTTCTTTATCGATCAACACGGCACCGCTTCCAATGGGAAGAGTGAAAGCAATCCGTGTGGCTTGCCAACATGACGAGGTATGTGGCCGTTCCTTTTGCCTGTTTTTTGATTTCAAGTGATGGCCCTCTCGGCTCCCGCGCCCCTGGCGTGGGCCGTTGTCCGCTCGAGGCTCTGCACAGCTGCGATAGAGCCAATGAGCATCAAAACGACCCTATATGGAGTTGAGCAGGGCCTCACTTGTTGTCGAGACAAAACCTTTCCTGTTTGGAACCGAGTTCCAGCCGGCGTGGGTTTCTTCTCGCTCGTGGCTTTCTCACAAATACCCTTGACACCTCCTTTTAGTGACCTGCACACATCTCTACTCTGAACCTCGCCACGTTGGGCACCAAGTGACCGACGTGCCCAATGACATGTCGCTTCTGAAACACACGTTTGGTAAGCTGCGTCACTCAATCTTTCTTATTCGTTTTTTGCCACGCCTGGCAGTGGGGTTTTGGGCACGTCCATGATGGATCAATCAGAACCACTATCCCCAGTCACGATCTTGTGTCGTGACGTTGACGAGCAAGCCTTTTCTGAGACTTGCCCACAGCCCCACTCTTGCCACATGTGCCTTTGATCGACGCAGCCTTGTTGCTCCTCAGCCCCTCACACTGCTGTATTTTCTTTTGCCTGCTGCTCTTGTAGGTGCGTTCTGTCAACTTGACATCATGGGCAAGCTTTGACAAAACGCCATCTGGCATTCACGTGGCCAAGAGCGATTATTAGCCTGATTCATTTCTTATTTTTTGCGGGTTTATTTTTTTCGGGTCAGCCTGGTCGTGTTGTACAAATTGACATCAACTGGTTGCCTCCTCTGATCCGGGCCTCAAGACAGGCAATCATGCACTGCAACCCGACCTGTGGTCTCCTTGGCCAGGCATCAAGAAATTGAGCCCCCGCCTGCTGATGCCGAGGGTTTGATGTCTGTCTACTCTTGCCATGGCTGTCTCCTGCGCTAGACAAGCCAGGTGTTGTGACCATGCAGCTGACCGACCCACCATCAAGGGGTACATGTTAAACAGGATGAGAGGAAAGGGTCTAGAGACACGGCGATTCTTGCCCGGGTCTGTGCTGGTCTACGTCTTGGCATATCCAGGATTCGCGCCCGTCCATTAAAAAATATGATAATATTCTTCGCCATCTGGGCGGAGGGGTTTGATTATTTACATGTTAGACCATATTATGCAGTGCGCTCGTGTGTGCTTCCGTCCATCACATACGCCAAGAGCACAGGAGACACGCCATCAGCATATTATGTTTTGTCGAGCACAGCAGTCAAGGTGAATGCACAGCTGCACTTGCGCACACCGTTGGCCTTGGGCGCCCACCCTCTCGTGGTCTGCTTGAGCAACGATGACGTTCACCCGTGTCGGAGCTGGTCACGTGCGAGGAAACAATGTTTGGCACGAGCAGTAAACAGTGGGCCCAGAAAAAACCCGTTTCGAGCCGTTTGGCGGTGCGCGCCGAAAACCGAGACGTTGTTCTATTTTTAGATGATGGTGGTGTTTGGCGGCGTGATGCCATTCTTCTTTGAGGGTGCGGGTTGTGCATTTTTTTTCTTACTTTTTGGCTTCTTCTTCTTCTTCTTCTCTTGCTTGACCGTTTTTTTTTTTTCTTTCTGCTTCTCTTTGCTGATCACTTGGCTACCTCCCCGCCTCGCGTCTGGTGTCTTGAACGCAAGACCCGCAAGCATGGCTCTCGATTCGGCCTTTGCTGATTTGGCGGAGCGCCTCAAAGGAATAAATCTGGATTCCGAAACGACCGCGTTGGTGCTGACTAGCTTTCTCAAGGAGCGACAAGCACAAGCAGAGCGGGAGGAGCGACAAGCAGCAGAGCGGGAGAAGCGACAAGCAGAGCGGGAGGAGCGACAAGCACAAGCAGAGCGGGAGCGACGAGCAGAGCGGGAGCGACGAGCAGAGCGGGAGCGGGAGCGGGAGGAGCGAAACGCAGTGGTTGGTTGATCAGGTTTTCCCGCCGCCCCTCGTGTCCACAAACGGCTGTCTAACAACGCAAATGTCTGGAACGAAGGACTCACAGCGTACCCTCACTTTGTTTATGGCTTGTCAGCTCGAGTGCCTCGTGCAAGATTTTGCGCCTCCTCAAGGCTATGACCTCGTGAATCATCTAGCAAGCATGTCGGTCGACAAAGTTTCCTTTTTGTACACTCTCTGCAAGAAAAACCGTCTTACTTGCGACCAGCTTGAAATCTATCTGCACATTCCTGGTAAAGCATCGCTCGCTGGCTTGGCGCTCGACAGGCGACGGCTGTTTCCCGCCTGCCCTGTGCGCATGGACGTGCTCAAGCTTACTTGTGGTGCCTTGGGACCGTCAATAATTCTTAGAACACAAGTGGACCCCGAAGGGAGCCTCGTTGCCCTCGAACGTGGAGGCCAAAGTGCCCACGATGTCACCCTCACAAACCCCGAAAATTAGCGACATCAACCACGTCAAAAAAAATTTTCATTTTGGCATTGTGCAACTACCTCCGAGCTGTCATTACCTGGCTCTTGAGATTGTCCAGCGAGCTCAAGAGCT